GGTGATCTGTTTTAGACAGCCACATCCAGACTTGATAGGTCCTTCTTAGAAGAGCACCTCGTGGGGCTCTCTCTCCATGGGGGTCACCAGGAAGAGGAGCTTCCTCCCAAAAGATATGCCATGAAGGTGTCATTTCATGGAAGAGTACAAGAATATTAACAATTCTGTTGAATATAAATGGCCAAGCAGCTGATTTCAGTAAAAAGTTTCAGTGGGAAGTTTCAAACTATTATGACTGCCAAATTTTAAGGGGAAAGATGGCCCTAATTCCTGGTGGATTACAGATACTGCTAATCTTTCCTCAAGGACGTTTCAGTTTTGGAAATAGTTTCAGTTTAGAAGCCAGATTAAATGCTATCTTTGAGATGAAATGAGACATCAAGGAGTTAGTCAATTGGCCATTCTCAAATAATCCTTGAACCTTGTGTTCTAGAAAGGACTGCATGTACAGGGTGGAGGCCAGAGGATAAGGAGAGAGGAACTGAGGAGGAGGAAGGCAAATCTCTGGGGGATGTGGTCTCGGGAGATTCAGACAAATTGCTATGAAGGAGGAATCTGACAGAGGAACCAAAGGAACAAACTCAATCTCTTGATGTGTCTGGGCAAAACACGTCCTATGACTTTGACGGTAGAAAAAACACTATGTATTTTAAATGTTAAGATAATGAAGATCAAAGTACAAAATTTGGATGAAAAGAACATTGCTTTCATTTCCTGTTTCAAGTTGTGGCAAATGAAGGATAGAATGACTTTTGCATCACATGGCTGAGAGTGAACATTTGGGTACCTCAAAAAAACACCTCGTAAATTTATGCAGAGGAAATTCACCATGATAACATCACAAAAGCACATGAATTCATGTTGCATGAAAAGAAGTTTAAAGTAGGAATATACCATTAATGACATAGCTACTGTAAATAGAAATATTCATCCATTGTTAACAAATCCATAAAATTATTAGATGAAAAGTAGAACACCATAACTATATATGTAGGGTTCTTTTTCACCTACTTAAAATTTAATATCTATTGTTTAATTGTGTTCACATCATCCCTGAGGAATTGGTTAGAGTAGGTTTTATTCCCATTTTATAGAGGGTAGAGGAGAGGGAGGTAAAATGTAGCCTCTTAGGGTCAAGACTAGTTGATAGCATTTCCTGGACTTTGGCCTTTGGAAAGAAACCCTGAGTCTCTTTCACAAGACCACAAGTTGTCCTAAAACCAACTCTTCTGAAGTAAGCAAATGGAGCCATGAATGAATATTAAAATGAAATGTCAAGAGCCTCAAGGACAAGGGGGACCAACAGATGCAATCTATAGCCATGTTCAACTCTTCCCTAGGCTGGTTTTGGGGTGCTCAAATGGATGAATTGCAAGGGGTCTGAGGGAGGGAGCCCATTCTCTCATTGTCCACTGGGATGGGTCTCAAGTGGTAGGATGGAGGCTTTCTACATCCATGGATGAGATCCCACCCAGCATGCCAGAGCCCTGAGACCAAGCAACCAAGTGAGATTCCAGGGAGCCCAACAGCTCAGATTTAGCTGGGGGAAAGGCACCCCAAAAGAGAGCAGGTACAGAAAGATTAAAGAAATCCTGAAAAGGAGTTTTTTTATTTCCCAATTTTACTTCTGTCAATCCGTGGAGACCAGGCAAATAGAGCAGCACAGACTTGTGAACAGGCTGTGCTGGAATTTGGAAGCCCTGGTGACTTTAGAGAAGTTATATAACCTCCATGAGCTTATCTATACAATGAAAAAGTTGGATTCAGCAATATCCTTCCTACTTTAACGTTTCATGAAGCAAGTCTTCATTTGGCACCTAGAAAGATAATGTGCCCACACAAAGTACCACCATCCAGAAGGAAATTGCCCTTAAGGTACGTTTCAGGAGTTAAGTATTTCCCACAGCAGTTGGTGATGGCCTTTGTTGGCCGCCATCTGTCTGGAGAGCCTAGAGTAGATGTTGGCATTGTCCTCGGCTGGGCAAGTAAGGAAAGAGCTGGAGAGGGAAAGGAGAGACATCACAGATGAAAAGTGACTCTGGAACAAGCCTGCTCTCTCCATTCAACTCTCAGTCCCCAAACTGTGCTCCTATTGTGGAAATGAGACCTTTGAGCAGTGTTCCATGTGTTTATTCTACTTGTATCAAAGAAGCTTTCATCTCCCTAGAGCAAATTATTAACACATTCCACTGAAGTTGTGAGGGTGGAGGCCCGGCCTTGGAGAAAAAATAATCACCATCCTAATAAAGAGCTGCCCGCAATGTGAACTTAAGAAAAACCAACATAAAATCCCCCATTTTTAATGGCAGTGTTTGGCCAGGCGCCAGGTCCTTGTGCCCAGGGGAGCATAGCTGGCTGATTCCTTGTCTGTAGGCTGACCCTTCTGTGCCCAGGAATTTTCCACTAGAAGGCTGGCGGTGTGGGAGGTGGGGACCTTTGCAGCTTCAGCAGGTTGAGACACTCACAGTCAGATGCCCGCAACCTTAGCTGGAGACCAGATTTTGTTGGCTGAGTGAGCAGCGACTCTCAGTTCCAGGCTGTAAATCTTTGCCTCTCAAGATTATTTGGTTGGGAAGAGGAAGGAGAGAGACAAAAAGAGAGAGGGAAAGACCTAAAACTCTCAATATAGCCCAGAGGAAAAACAGACTGGACACAGCAGAACAATGTTTCATTTTCACTAATGGATTACAGAGGCTAGAGGGAATAGTTTCTAGACAAGGTTAGGGCCACTTTCTAAAGCAAATTCCCTTGATTCACAAGAGCCCTCTGAAGCTCAGGCTCCTCCTTTGAAACATGGCTCAGCTATATTTGGTAAAGAGCCTAAAGCAGAGGAGAAGGTGGAGAATTATTTATTCCTGCTGAAAACCAGATCCAGGGTTCATACTTTGTTTTTGTTTGTCTTTTAAAACATGTCTTCAAGTAACACCCAAATAATATGATACCTCAAATATCATGTTCAATGATTGTGACAACCAAGATTCATGAACAGCCACCAATGTGTAGTTCGTCATTAGCATCAATTTTCTCCCTTGGGGGCTAAAGAAGGAGGAGAAATAACAGAGAAACTGAGAATACAAGTGGGACTTGAAATACTTCAACCTGCTAAACAGACACTGGATCCCTATGTATAAACAGCTTGGAATTTGGGGCACTCTGCTGTGTCTTCTGAAACTGAGAGGGTGCCTATGATGTGAAGAGTGCCTGCTGGCACTAGTGGGAATGGATAAATGCACTTTGTGATGACCGAATGCGTTTTCCTAATAAGAAGAGGACTCAAAAATCTCACCATTTCATCAGTTTTATATACAGATGTTTAAACTTCGGCTAACAGTGGTGAGCAAGTATCACTTGCTTAGTGCTGGGCTGCTTCCGAATGCTTTTCACAATGCTATCTGTGCTATTGCTGTGATTATGTGGAATTAATGGATTCAGAAAGTGAGGCTCAGGGTGTCCACAATTGGCTCAAGTTTCCCTTTCTACCATCCTCACCCCACCCCAGTGGTTCTTAACCATCCTCACTCCACCCCAGTGGTTCTTAACAAGAGATGATCTACCCTTCCCCCTGGTGGTTTGATGATCTCTGTAGACATTATTGGTTAGCTCAACTATAATAAAAGGGAAAGTGCCATTGACATCTATTAGGTAGAGGCCAGAGATACTTCTAAACATAATAGACTGTACAAGACAGAAGCCCCCACCATGCACACAAAGCATTATCCATCACAAAATGTCCACAGCACCAGGGCTGAGAAATCCTGCTCTAGTAATCTCACTTTGAAATTCCTCTTTGACTTCAACTGCCATCTTTATGCTGACGACTTTCAAATCTACTGTCCTTGCTATTTCCAAAGCTCCATGCTCTCATTACTAACTGCCTACTAGAACTCTCTCTGGTTGTCCTGTGAGTACCTTCAACGCAACATGTCCAAAATAAATCTTTTCCACCTCCTATTCTCTGATCTGGTTCCTTAGCCCTACCATCTTGGGTTTCTAAGCTAGAAACATGACTTCTTTGCCTGACCTCCTCCTTCCTGTTTTCTTCCTCAGTTACCCCAATCCAATCACACGAAACACCTGTCAGATACACCTGAATGAACCCAAGACACATCTCTAGCAACTGGCTTCTATAGGCACTGTCTTAGCATTGGCCCTCATCATTTCTCAGAACAAACTCTTGCCTTAACATGACAAATCATGCCAGGCACTGTCCTTCTCCTCTGTGAAGCTTTACCACTTCCATTCTACAGACAAAGAAATAAGGTGAACAGAGATTAAATGGCTTGTTGATGAAGGAGGCGGCAGGGGTTTGAACCCAGGCCAGACCATTACACTTTGTTACCTCTTGATTCATCATCTTCCACTCAACTTCCACGTTTTCCTATATGAGTCATGTGCTCCAATTACTCTGAGGACTTTACTTCTGAATCTTGCTATAGATTTTCACATTTCTGTGTCATTGAAAACAATGTCCCCCTCCATCTGGAAGGCTAGTTCATGAAAGGTACCCCACATACTTACTAAATTTAAAAAATGACTATTTCTCTTTCTACCACTTCCAAAGCAAAGTTATTGGCTGAACGTGGTGGCCCATGCTTGTAATCCCAGCACTTTGGGGGGGGCGGAGGTGGTTGGATTGCCTGAGCTCAAGAGTTCCAGACCAGCCCCAGCAGGAGCGAGACCCTGTCTCTAAAAAAATAGCCAGGTATTGTGGTGGTGCCTGTAGTCCTAGCTACTTGAGAGGCTGAAGCAAGAGGATCACGTGAGTCCAGGAGTTTGAGATTGCTGCGAGCTATAACTCCATGCCACTCTACTTAGGGCGACAAAATGAGACACTGTCTCGAAAAAACAAGAACAAAAACAAAATTAGGCAAATTTATCTTGCAAATAGTTTCCATTGAAAGAAACCTCAATATATAGCTCATTCTTGCCTCAAGGCAAACAGGTGAACCCTTGGTTATATATAAAGGTGAGATTCTTTAAAATATATTGACTATGACCCTTTTCCCCTCCCCGGGCCACCCAACCCGCCCAACTCCCAGCGAAGAGCAAGGTTGCCTTCTATTTCATAGCCAACTGGAACAATGTTCTACGCACACTTTGTCCTCAGTAAAAGAGGGCCGCTGGCCAAAATTTGGCTAGTGGCCCATTGGGATAAGAAGCTAACCAAAGCCCATGTGTTTGAGTGTAATTTGGAAAGCAGTGTGGAGAGTATCATCTCACCAAAGGTGAAGATGGCGTTACGAACGTCAGGACATCTCTTACTGGGAGTTGTTCGAATCTATCACAGGAAAGCCAAATACCTTCTTGCTGACTGTAATGAAGCATTTATTAAGATAAAGATGGCTTTTCGGCCAGGTGTTGTTGACCTGCCTGAGGAAAATCGGGAAGCAGCCTATAATGCCATTACTTTGCCTGAAGAATTTCATGACTTTGATCAGCCACTGCCTGACTTAGATGACATTGATGTGGCGCAACAATTCAGCCTGAATCAGAGCAGGGTGGAAGAGATAACCATGAGAGAAGAAGTTGGAAATATCAGCATTTTACAAG